ATCCCTGCCCATTGTTCCCTAGCCTGTGTATTACAGCATGTAAGTCTCACTGTGTGGAGAAAATGTGGTAGGGTTTTTCTGTCTGAGAAGATTGCTAAAAGATACCTGTGAGGGGGGTATATTGGGCTAGTAATAGTTACCAGGATGTTCATTTTTAAAAGTAAATGAATTAGAAAATTGCCTGGCTCATGAAAACTGGACATGGGAAAAAATAATTACTTTTAGATACCAAAACTCTTTTCAAAGTAAACTGGCACCCGGTACAGGAACATTCCCTTTTGTTTATGCTCAAGGGCTTTATCTGGTTTGAGATAATGAAAGCAGTTGGGCTTCCACCACTTCCTTTAGGAAAATTTCCACTTTCAAAAAGATTTCCGTCACAGGAAATGCTCAGATTTCTGGTTGATTCTCTCAGTTTGGTTTTGTCCCAGTATCCCCAGTGCCACCAGGCTGTTCTTACCCAACTCACAGGGCTTAGACCTCCCAGATGGAGATTCCAGCAGCTCCTCTTGCAGTGTAAAAATTGGGTTCTTCCCATCCTTTCTTCCTTGGTAAAGTCTTTCTGGCTGACTTTCATTCTTATTGGAAACTGCATCTTTGGGTTTATAGCTTAAGCCTTTTTTATATTTTGAAATAAAATGGGAAAAAGTGCAGACATGCAGCAAACCTGTGAGTGATTTCTCCAGCTGATTTGCACTTGGTTGCTTGACAGTGGTTTGGGTCAGTGCCTGAATGTCTCTTAGAAGAGAAGAAAGTTGCATTTGGGGTTGCTGTTAATGTTGTCTCTGAGGTAGAAACAAATGCAACAATTTCTGGTTACTTGGTCCCATGTTCAGCTGAGGGTGTCTGACAGAATGGTTCTGTAATAAGATTACAGCAGCAATAAACACCTTCTTTGACATGGTTTCTGAAGACCACCCCAGCTTGGAGAGGAGAAAAATTGTTTTCAAAGAGTGGAAAACTGTTGAAGCTCAGCTGCAAAATCCCCTCTTGATCCAGTCTGGACTTGGGACTTAAGTAAATGCAAGTTCCTTTTAACATGGCAACACTGCCATGGGCAGGAGGAAGGAACCTTGCTGCAGTCAGACAGCTGCAGGCGATCTCTAGTGAAGCTGCCATCCTTCTTATTGTTTGTCCTGTTTTCCATGAGATCAGAAGCCGCAGCCACTCCCCAACAGTTGTAAGCTTGTCTTTGCTACAGCTAATGTTGTCTTTTAATTTAGATGCTGTCCCCAGCTGGCTCCTCTCTGCACAGACCAAACTGCCTGGTCCCGCTCTTGGGCTTTCAACTGAGGGTGCAGCCTGGTGGGTGGCTGCTTTACTCAAACCAGTAGCTCTTCCTTGTGTCCCTGGTCCTCCAAGGTCTTGTCACTTGTGGAGGAAGAACAGTCAACTGGAAATATGGCCAGCTGGATCTGTTTACTCATCAGCAGGAAATTAATAAACAGCTGAGGCTGATAAACTAGTGAAGCTGTAAAAAGGCTGGTCTTTGTGTTGGATGTGATGGTTAGAGCTTGGGACCAGGAAGGGCCATCTGGGAAAATGCTGTTACTTGCTCATTTACAGGGGGCATGTGGAGCCTAAGCATGTGAAAGCCGGTGTGTGTCTTCCCAACTCTTGTTGTAACAACTCCATCCTCCACCACTGCTATGTTCCAGCCTTTGTGTGTGTTGATATATGCCTGGTGAATCTATTCCCTTTGACATGGGAACCCCAGATGGTTGACAAAACATGGGAGAGTCCATGCCAGGTACCTGTGTACCACTCACATTGGAGCTTCCTGTGGTTCAGCACATTGCTCTGTCTTCCTGTGAGGGATGGATGGCACAGGCTTTGGTGTGCACAAGAGCAGGAGGTTGAGATCTACCCTTGAATGGATGTGCAAGTCCTGTCTTGAGGCCATCATGTGACAGCTTGTACTGGATTGTGTGGTGCTTCTTCCTGAGGAAAGTGTTCCTCCAGGGCAGGGGAACTCCTGGTTCTCAGGAGCACTGAAACAAATCTGATTTCTGATGAAAGCTGCGAGGTACATACAGATACCAGTCTCTCCTGGAAGTCTGTTGCTGAACTCTGCCTTTGGGACAGGGCACCATCAGAAATCTCCATGTCCAATGGCATGTGCACATAGGCCTTTAGCAGAGGGAGGTGCCTCTGTAATAAGGCAACTACGAGAGATGCTGGTGCGTGAGGTCTGGGGAGAGGTCACTGCAGAGAGTGCAGTGAGAGTGTGCTGATGTAGCTCCCTGTGCAGATGCTGATGAGGAAAAAAATCTCAGCCCTGGCTTCCTGAGACCTTTATGATGTTTGAGGTCATAAAAACCTGGCTTCTTGTGCCACTGCTTGCCAACCTCTTCGCAATGAAGAGCTGCATGTGAGCATGGCCTTACATGCTAAACATCCTGGTGACAATGGTGGAGGTTTGATTTGGGGCTCTTAACTCCAGGATGCTGTGGGAGTGCTTGTCTGGGTGTTTGGTGGGTGGCTACGTGAAGAAGGCAAATTCCATCAAGCAATATAGTGCCCAGGCTGCTGGTGTCCTCCGCCACCCCTCGAGTGTGTCTGTGTGTTGTGCAGTGCATCTAGGGATCTCCTCCTGCCTGGCTGCATTTCAACTTGGATGTGGGGATGGCTGCGTGTCCTCTGGCTTCCTCTGAAGCATGTCAAGTCTTGGCTCTGTTTAAAAAGCATCAGAATGAACCAGGAAAGCCTTGTGTAAACTAAAGCAGGCTTTATACCCCTCCACATCCATAAAATGGGCTGTTGCCTTGTGGAGGGTTTGAACAAAGTTAGGATGAAGTTTCCATTTTTCACCTTTGCCAAGGGAAAAGGCTCCCAGCCATTGGACAGGTTCACTGGTGGGTGCAGGCAGGGTGTGCAGTTCAGTGTTTCTACCAGCTGCCTCGGGTACAGATGTGAATGTACATACCAGCCAACTGAGCGCTCTGGGAAGCAACTTGCTGCCCTTGAATTCTTGTGCTTTCTATGAGAGGACCTGAATCTTTTAAAGTCAAATGGCTCTTGGCAAGCTGCCTTTAGAAGGGATAAGCCAGCTTGGGAATTGACGTCCAAAGCCATAAAGGACTTTTTTTGCTGTCTGGCTTCTCTTCATGCTTTGCTTTACAACAAAGCTATCTGGAAGACCAGTCTTTGCTGGTCACAGTTGTCAGAGCAGAAGATAGTAACATGGTCAATGTCAAATACGGTTTTTGGAGGACACAGTTTGGAATAATACTTGTACACCATCCTTGGGAGATGTAGCCCATCTTGCTCTGCCATTTACTGACCTTAAAATACACTTTCTATCTTTTCTAGCAGGCTCATCTTGTATCGGAGCGTGACAGAGAGCAGTCAGATGCCTGGCAGTGTTTTTCCATTGCCTTATTCCAGAGCCTGGATGAGGCACTTTCTCATGTGATGTTCACATCTGGATTTTTGACTTGACAAGTTAGTTGAAACCTTAAGGACCTCAGATTTTCAGGGACAGGAGTGTGTTACTATGTATTAAATATGTGGCCCTTCACTTTGATGGGAATTATTCTGTTCCCTTCTCTCACCCCATGAGTTGTTGCATTTAGAGAAGGCTTTTTTTCCCCTCTTAGATGGAACTAGTCAAAGGTAACTCACCTTGCCCCTAGTGTAAATTCTCGGCTAGCACTTTGTGGGGACAGCCTGTTTCTCTGTGATTAAGACTGAGATGTCCTCATCTTGCATTAATGCTTCAGAGCTTCCTAACAGAAACTCCCGGAGAAGCTACAGCTGACTGTTTTTGCATATTTTTAAAGTCTTTCTTATCATTGTATTTTACCCTCTATAATATCTTCATGAGATCCTCCAGGCTGCCTGCATTGTGCTGTTGGGATCATTTGGCATATTTAAGGTAAATTGGTGGAAGCAGATTTGGCAGAGGGAAAAGTCATGAAGGGTGGAGAATTGATTTGGAGGCCAGTGGGTATGAAATATTTACACAGCTATGAGATAATTTGAAGGAGAAACAGCATGTGCTTTCTGTGTATGTGTATGTTTGTATTTCTGCACACACATGGCTGACATCTTTTTGTCAGACTCACAGGTATTTTTTTCTGCTGCTTCTGGCAAAGAACCACTAATGGTTTAATAGCTTATCAGCGCCTGTGCATAGAAACAAAGGTTGGTACTTCCTGATTTTGTGTTTTGTTTGCTTTAAATAGGAATTCCCATTCTGATTAACATGAAACCTGGAAACTGAGCTGTCAGAGCAGTCAGCTTTTTGAGATCAGTGCAGAATTCCTGACTGTGAGCAGCTTGAAGGCAATCCAGGTGCTGCTTTCCTGCTGTACAACCCCAGGGCTCTGCTAACCTCCTCAAGGAAACTTGTGAGTGCATGGCCTGGGACAGATCATTTCTGAAGTACCTTGCTGTGAAGTGGCTAGGTCGTGCTTCTCTTAAAGTGCTTCTCTCCATTGGCCAGGTTTGGTGGATTTTTTTCAGTGATGATGGGCCAAATTCTAACCAGTTATATTCAACACTTTGCTTCTCTTCCAGCATGGAGGGGTTTGGGGATGTTCTTAACAGCTCCAGGTCTTGGAATCAAGTTACTCTGAAAGAAAGTCAACATTCAGAATCACAGAGGTCTTTTGGTCATTCTTTTTTGTTCATGAGTTTGTAGAGAAGGGTTTGAAAACAAGACAGCTCTGGCCTTGAGATCTAGAAAGCATTTGACTGAGCAGCAGTGTAATGATGTTTAAATAGTGTTAGGATGTCTGGAAGGGCTGACATAACAATTTCTTTGAACATCCAGTGCTGATGGTGCAGTAGATCATGGTCCACTTCTATAAGATGCCTGATTTTTTGCTAATTTGCATAGTACTTGTCAGATCTGGCATTATTCAATAGAAAATATCCTTCCTCTTTAAGAACATTATTGGGTTTTCCTTTTTTTAAATTATTTCTTCTCTTTGCCTTTTCCTTTCTCTTTCTCACCCTTTTTTCTGGCCTCTATGCCTACTGTTTTCTTCTTCCAGCACTTCTTTCCCTGCAGCCATTCCACATTCCCATCTCCTGAACCTCTTTCAGACCATCTTTCAGACCAGCAAAGCACTCGACAGTTGTGCTACTACAGTGGGCACTGCCCCTTTGTCTGGGACACCCTGCTGATGCCAGGGAAGACATTTGCAGTGCCAGGTATGCTTCCCTCTGGTTTAAATTTCAGCTCCTTTTGGCCTGCTCAGGGCTTTAGGATTGTGTATCGAACTTTTGTGATTCTCTCAGTTTTGGCATGCCTGAGTTTTAAAAGGGAGTGGTTGTGAGTTTCCAGGTGAACTGCTGATTAAGGAAAGGATTTTTAGCTTTCCTTGTGAGTCTTGGTTCTCAACACTTTTTTTCATCCCTGTAAATTACATGTTTTTTCTGGGATGAAAAATATATATTTTCCTCTGCTACAAATAAATGGATGAGTGAGTAGTGTAGGCATTTTGTTGCTGAAGCATGAGCTTGCCTGCTTGTAACATCCTCGTTGTTCTGAGAGATGAAGAAACAGAATGGTTTTTCTGAAGCACTGAAAACCACCTCTTGAATCCCCTCCAGGCTGCAAGAGACTGGATGCAAGGTGCTTGTACAAATGGCTCTTTTGTACTATCTTCAGAAATATTGAGGCTTAAGCCTCCCACCTCAAAAAGAAAATTGCTGTTATTGGGGGGTTTTGATGGATTTGCCTCTCTGGGTCCCTGTGGTGGGTCAGAACTTAGCCAGTTCTCAGATGCTGCTTGTTGCTTTTATCAATCCATGACCAGCTGAAAGAATTTATTTTGTTAGTGCTTACTCAGGTACAAGAAGCACTCCTAGCTTGTGGCAGTGAGAGGGGATCCTGTCCTTACCTGCCTGGCTGTCCTGCTGCCGGCACAAGGCAGCAGAAGTGGGCATGGGGCTCCTGCTGCTGCCCCTGTGACCTGACAGTTTGTGTCTCAGTCTGTGACCTGTGGTGACTGGACATGTGTTTTTCTCCTGCAACCTGCACAGGAACCTGTGGCAGAGGGGTAGGAAGCTGTTTGCTTCAAAGCACCTGCATCAGAGCTCTTGGATAACCCCGTTCAGGATTTACCAGGCTTGCCCTGATGACCTGCTTTCTGGTGAATGGTGTAAAAACCAGTCAGCCCCAAGCAATTCTACGTGCCTGCGCTCAGCAGCCCATCCTGAGGGACTCAGCACATGGAGCTGCTCTACATCATATTAGTATTTTGGTATTATTTAATACCAAAAACTTCTCAACTGCCCTAGACCACATCAGTGGAAAAGTCCAGGTATTTTTGCCCTTTAACTTAGACTTTGAAAAACAGTTGCACAAAACTGTATTGATGCTCTGTTTCACTTGATGCTACAGAAATTAGAGGATGGGGAAGTGCAAAATGATGCCATCGTCAGGATTAACTGTGCCTCGTTGGAGGTGCTAGATCCATGGTGCATAGTCTGCTGTGCCACTGCCTGTGTAACTAGGTTGTGCATCCGAGACCAGTTACAGAGGTGTGCGTTTTCCATGTGCTCTTTCATGGATGCTGCAGTCAAGGTTTTGATGTGTTTCCCTTTTTTTCTTTTTTTCTGCAAATAAGCCATCTTGCTTGGTTTGTGAAGCCAGGGGGCTTTGCCAGTGGAGCCTGTGTGCTCTGGGAGTAGCTGTCTCCTGCTCACACTACAAGAGCAAACTCAGACCAGAGCAGAGCCCAGCTCTCAATGAGCGCTTCCCAGAACATGTTGGCTGCTTCTGCTGTGGCCGTTTTCAGTCTTTCTAAGCAGGACAAATGCCAGTGTTCTCATCTCGTGTCAGTATTTCAGCAGGGGCTTTCCAAAGCCCTCTCTGGGCAGAGGTGAAGGAAAATGTAGATTACTTAAGTGAAATGTGAAAATAGTCTGCTTGGAAAATAGTGCAGAGAAGCTCAGAAGAAAGAGGCCTAGCCTGCTAGTTAGCTAAGCATGTGCTCCCATGATACAGCTGGGTAGGGCTCCCATTCAGGCTGGCTCTGGATCCATCTCTGACCTGAACAGTCATGGTGATTTTTTTAATGAGCTAAGAGCAGCCACAATATACTGCAGCTTCCTGCTGCTCCACGTTGGTTTGGGGGACGGGTGGGATCTCATTCTCACAACATTGAAAGTATAGATCAAAACCCTGAGTCACTAAAAAGGAATTCTTTTTTCTGTTTTTTACATCATCTGGCTGGGGCTACAGTGACCCAGCAGTGTACAAATGAGCTGGTGCAGCTGTCAAAATCTGTCTTTTATTCCCTTTCCAGTGGAGTATTGTGTTGGCCCACAAAAAAGTCTGGCAGGCAGCAGGGCAGGCAGTGTGTTGACAGCTGACCGAGCTGCCTTGCCCATTCTGTGTCGATAGCTGATGTACTTACAGAGTGGGCAGCTCCTGACCGTTGCAGGCTGGTAAACCCAGCATGATTTCAGGTTTGCTTTCAAATGCTGGACTGGAACCTGCAGCATTTAGGAGCCACTTCATTTTCCCCATCAGTACCGGCATATTGAGGTCTGCTTGGAGAAGCCCTCGTTTCCCCTCCTAGTGCAGAGATGTTGGTCTTGGGTTGCCAGATCTGCCACCTCTGATCTCACCCTTAAAGAAAAACCCCAGTCCTGTGCATCGTTAATCACTTGGGAGACTATAATGCTGTGAATTTCTCTCTCTTTGGTACAAGAGCTTTAAGTCTGGACGAGCTTTCCATGGGATGAAGTTCTCCAGAAGTAGCAACAGGACAGGTTGTAACTTCATTTTTGGCTTAATTTTTAACCCTGGTGTGTCTGTTTCTTTGCACAGTGCTGCATGCTTGTGAAATAGAACAGCTGGCAATAATTGGTGATTCTGTGATGTGGGGTAGAGCCCATGAGCTGCAGACTTTCTTCTTCAGGCTCAGCTGCACACTATGGGAGTAGTTAGCAGGGAAAGACACATTGTTAACCTTGAAGCACACTGAATTTTCAACTTCTAGATGTTTCACAGTCGTGTCGGTGCAGCATTCTGCAAGGGAGGATGAGGAGCTGAAAAGAAGGATATCTGATAGGCAGCATTTGAATTTTGTTCATTAAAAAATCAGGTCTGCAGGTACCCGTGTATAAAATGAGTGTCAACAGCTTTCCCAAATAAAGCATTGGGATAAACATTTGACTGCTTTTGGCTGCGGCACTGAGCTCTTCTTCCCAAGCCCTTGAACTGGTAGCAGTTGCAGACTCCAGGTGAGCACAGACACTGCAAAAGCACTTCTTCGGTGTAGTTAAGCTACATGTGCCTCTCAGATGGAGAAAATGTTTTTGCCTTTTTACAAACAGGTACCCATGGGCTGCCCTCCCTCCAGCCTCAGCCAGCCAGAGACCTCTCTGCTGACTCTCCTCTCCTCTTCCCTGCAGTTCTTCACAGAGTACGGTCCTGATTACGTGCTGGAGATCACACCAAGCTGCAGACCAGATCGCAATGAGCCACAGAGAATTCAGGAAATTCTTAACTCTATCAAAGGTGAGTTGTCCAAGCCAACGCTCTTGCCTCAGGCTTACAGTCTCTAGAGAGGACTTCAGGAAAGCTCTTTGGAGTCATTCTCAGTGGCTGGAAATATGAACCACTTTCACTTGACTGCTCATCATGTACAGTGTCTTCTGTCTCCTGCTTCACTTGGGATTTTCAGTGATAGCACATCAGCTCAGAGCTGTGGTCCCTGTTAGTGAAAGTTGCCATTCCCTTTCCTTGGGCTGGGCAGAGGAGCACGAGACCTTGTCCTTATTAGAATAGTAGAACACCCCGGGTTGTAAGAGATCATCTGGTCCAAACTTTCATAGGAAGGGGAGCCTAGATGAGATTATCTAGCATCCTGTCCAGTCACATCTTGAAAACCTTTAGCAATAGGGATTCTACCACGTACCTGGGGAGGTTGTTCCCAATGATTGACTGATCTCACTAAAAAATTTCTCATAACAAGATGAAACCTCTCCTGGTGCAGCTCATACCTGTTGCCCCTTGTCTTCTCCATGTGGCTCCTTGTGAAGAGAGAGCCTCTGTGCTATCTGTAGCTGCCCTTCAAGTACTGGAATACTGTGACGAGGTCCCCCTGAGCCTTCTCTTCTCCCTGGAGAAGAGACCCACTCCATCAGCTTTTCCTGATAGGGCAAGTTCTTCAGCCCTTTGATCATTTTCATGGCCCTCCTTTGGATCCTGCACAGTCTGTCCATGTCTTTTTTTTTTTTGGTTTGTGGGGACCAGAACTGGACACAGTACTCCAGGTTCAGCTGACAAAGTACTCAGTAGAGTGGGATGATCCTGTCTCTCTCCCTGCTAGTAATGCCCCTGCAGATGCTGCCCAAGATCCTATTTTCTGTCGTTGCTGCAGCAGCGCACTGCTGGATCATGTTCAGCTTGCTGTCCACTGGGCCCCCCAGGTCCCAGCCTGAACTGGGCTCTTTGGTCCCAGGTGCAGGACCTTGCCCTTGTCTTTGTTAAACTTTATACTATTCTTGTTAGCCCACTCTTCTGGCTTGCCCAGGTCTCTCTAAGATGGTTCTCCCTTCTGATGTGTCCACCTCAACACCCAGTTTGGTGTCATCAGCAAACTTGGGGAGGTTGCTTTCAATCCCGTTATCCAGATTGTTTATGAAGATATTGAATAGTGTGAGTCCCGGTATCAATCCCTGGGGGACTCACTTGTGACAGGCTGCCAGTCTGAGTAAAAACTATTGGTCAGCACCTGTGTGGTGCCTGTGAGCCAATTCCCTCCCTACCCACTTTGTAGACCACCTATCCAATTTGCATCTTGCCAATTTGCCTGGGAGGAGGCTTGGGAAACAGTGTCAGATGCTTTGCTTGAAATCCAGGTAAACAACATCCACTGCTGTCCCTGTGTTAACAGAAGATGTTCTTTTGTTGTAGATGACCAGATCAGCCTGGCATGATGACATGATTTGCTCTTGGTAAATCCATGCTGGCTTTTCCCAGTCACCTTCTTCATTTGATTTGTAATAGTTTCTAGAACTTGTTCCATGACTTTCCCAAGGATTGAGATAAAACTGATGTGCCTGTAGTTGTCTGGGTCCTCTTTTGGGCCCTCTATGTAGATGGGTGTGATAGTCACCCTCTTCCAGAAATCAGGGATATTCCCTGATCTCCATGATTTTTCAAATACTATAGACAGTGGCCTTGCAACAACATCAGCCGCTTCTCTGAACGTAGATTTCTGTGGGCTGAACCTTTGCAAGACGTCACAGACCACCCATCCCTGCTGGTGGATGGGCACATGAGTTGTCATAGGTACATGTTTCTGTGATCTGAGGTCCCCAACCTCTGCCAGTAAAGACAGAGGTGGGGAAGGTATTGAGAACCTCTGCCTTGTCAGTATTATTAATAATCGTTTTGCCTGCCCTTGTTAGCAACAGGCCTCTCTGGGCTTCTGCTTACTGCTCACATATCTGAAGAACCAATTCTTCTTGGGTTAACTTCATCATGTTTAATAAAAATGTCACTGAATGCAAGGGTGGTTACTAAAGTCAGGAGGGTATGTAGCTCATTACGGGAAGGTAGGCACAGTAGGTATATCTGTAAATGTACAGTAAATATGTCTATAAATCTGCATTTCTAAGAGAAGCATGGCAGTTGATTTTATATATACTTTTCCTGGTATCTTTACTCAGCTTCTTGGATTTGGTGGTTTGGGGGCTTCCCAAGCCAGGCATTGTTGCTGGATGCACATTAGAGATCCATCAAGGAACCTGTCCTCCATTAATTCTGTTCCCTTTCCAGTCTTATTTAGACTTTGAGTGTCCACAGTAATGAGTGTCATGGTTGGCGTGTGGAAAACTACTCTTTTCTGTAAAACTCAGTGTTGGGTAATTTCACTGAGTGCCAGCTTGTTCTTGTAAATGAGAAACAGCAAGTAACTAGTTCCTATTCACCTTCCCAATGTCAATCTGTGATTTCAGAAATCTGTGTTGCACTTCCATCATCATCTCTTTTCCAAGCTGAAGAGCCTTAGTCTGCTTCATCTCTATAAGCAACACCTCTTCATCTGGGCCCAGCAGCAGTTTTATAAACCCTCAGAACTTGCTACAGTTCCCAAAGTTGAAATAAGAAAGATGTCCCAGATCCTTTTAGGAGAAAAATAGGAGTTTCTTGTTCATTATTTTTTAAGTGCCAGAGTACCTAGCTAATAACAGCATTACACCAAGAACTGAGACTCTTGAGGCAAAGTTGGAAATGTATCAAGTCTGAGTACCACTGAGACTTCACATCCACTGATTTTGAAAAAGGAAATAAAGAGCAAAGGATTCTTAAAAATCAGTTAGCTGGATCTTTACAGGGGACCTATTCTCAGCATCTCACACAGAGATCACACAAGATGGTGGAGCAGGTTGGCATGGCAGCAGTGCCTGGCAAACACCTCTTGGTACAAAGCAGTGGGCACACATCTGCACTGGGCATTGAGAAAAGATTGCAGGGTCCACTGTCTTGGTAGGGCTGAAAGCAATTTGTTAGAAAGGGGCTCCTGCAAAGTCAAGAGGATATTGCTGCCAGCTCAGCAGAGCATTGTCCTGGGGATGGCCACTGCTGTGGAAATCCACTGTGCAGGGGACAAGGAATTGCTGCTAGGCTTTGAACAACTTCATCTAGTGAAAGATGTCCCTGCCCATGGCAGGAAGATTGGACTTAGATGGTCTTCAAAGGTACCTCCCAACCCAGATCCTTCTGTCATTCTGTAGTTTATTGGATGAGATGAAACGCTTGCTGGATGTGGTTGTGGATGTCATCAGCCTCAGACACATGTGCCCACACAGAGGCTTCCTACAGAGGAGGGCAGCGACTTACACTAGACAGAAAGAGCTGGAGGTGTGAGCCCAGGTCCCAGCCTGAGTGCAGGGAATGTTCCATGGCTGGGATTACCCTGTCAATAAGAGAAATCTCTTGGTGGACTGCCTGGAGCTGGGAGTTAACATTTGGATGCAGGAGGACCTGGAGGCTCTATAGGGCTGAATAAGAAGCAGATGCTTCCAGGGGGATATGTTCCAGCTGCTAGATGCATGGTTTTCATTCCCTTTTGTACCACAGTGTCTGAGTTCAGGAGAGGAGACCTCACATATTTAGCCCTTCCCTGCACCATGGCTAGCTTTTTGGTTCCCCAGCCTCTCCAGTCCCCAGCCCAGTTTTGACTCCTAGAAATGCTTCCCAGTTACTGACAGTCCCATTACCACAGCTTGGTGAGCTACCACTTCCCACGCATACACACATCACCCGTTACAAGCCTGACATAGATTATTTTACTTTTGTCTGCCTCTTTGTTTTAAATCACCATTTGTTTCATCAAAGTTCAAGTCCTGCATGTTTCTGCCATAAGCTCATGTCTTCCTCCTGCGTGCAAGTTTGGTTGGAGTTTGTCAGTTAGAGAGTGGACTCTGCAATGCAAAAATAGCTCTGGCACAAGTCTTTTCTTTGAGGTGGTGCTTTGCCCTGGAGCAGAGTTCTGATCCTTTGCTCCCAGGAGAGCATGGGTGCTCCAACTCAATGGAAGCAAGTCAGCAAACAGGAATGTCTTCTAGTGCTTAGAGATGAATAGAAGGCAAGGGGTTAGACTCCGTGCTTACTGAAGTGGGCTCGTAACATGGCACCCTACCTGCATCACGTTCAGGCAGTTATCCCCAAGCCTGTGTGAGGAACTGCAGCCTGGGAGGAGGTGCAAACCTGCAGAACAGTCTGTGCCCATCCTTTAGAGAGGGATGACTTCAGTGGGGGTCTGTTGAAACGCTTCTTTGGGAACATTTGATCCACTGCCTGATAGCAACTGCTGCATTTTGTTACAGCTCCCCCACTCCTTTTCTCTGCTATGCATGATGATTTTTGTTCCTGTCTTTGTCACATTGCAAAAGACTAGTCCTTCTCTTTACTGTCGTCTGTCAAAGTGCTACCTGAGGCATGAGGCAGTTATAAACCCTGATCCCTACTGGTACTTGACTTATGGGCTCCCAGGGCAGTTGCAGCTTAACTAGAACCCCTCTCTTCCGCTGTCAGACCCCACCAGACTGTCTCAGGAGCAGGAAGGCTTGGAAATTCATGCCCTTCCCAGTGTCCCTTCAACATCAGACCTGGGAGAGGACCAGGGTCCCCAAGCACTGGGAGCAGGAAGGGGAGAGGAGCAGGTTGTGGGTTGTGCTCTGCCTGGATGACTCTCTTGCACCCTTGAGTGACACTTCCAGCTCAGCTCACAGCCACTTCTCCTGGGAACTGAACGCATTTGTTGAGGAGCTGCAATGCCATGGCCACTGCAAGGGCCGGATCTGATGGGAATGTGTGTCTTGTGTCTAGGAAGGCTTCTATGCATATGGAAGGCAATGGATTTAGTAGCTATGGATTTGTAGGGGAGGGAGGCAGACAGGTGGATCCCAGACATCTCTGTCTTCCCTGATAGTACCTCTCAAAGGAGCCAGCTGTGTGCTTGGGGACCAGCTGACATGAGCATGATCTGTGCCCCAGACAGGCTGCTTGTCTGCTTGGGAAGGGGTTTGAGACCCCAAGTTTGGTCAGCCTTGCGCTCAGTGCTCGCCTAGGCCATGCTGCATCTGTCTTCCCCTGTGGTGGCCGGGATGCCTCCCATGCAGATCCAGACCTGTGGGCGAGCACCCAAATGCTTCCCAGCCAGCGTCACATGCAGGAAGCTCAGGCACTGAATAGTGGAATTCCCTATGTCATGTCACCTGCTGAGAGGAAAACTCATGCCTAGGAGAGAGAGGAGAAACCCTGTTCCTCCCTTCCCAGCCACCACGGAGAGGCTGGTCCAAGAGCCCAGTGCTTTCCAGGACTGATTTACCCTGCAGTGAGTTTTGCACTGAACTTTGCAGTGGCAGTGCCAGAGGCAGCAGGAACATGTGGGGCAAGGAGGGTCCATCCTCCTCGGTAGTGAAACAGTGATGGATGGAGCAAGGTGGAACTGCAGCCCCTACCCCAGGCTGTGCAAGGGAATGTGGCACTGCCAGCACTGGGGAACAGGCCTGCTGGGCATGGGGCAGGGTGATGGACAGACTGACAGCAGTAGAGCCATGGCTTCTGCTCTTAACTTTTGACTCCCAGTGTTGCTTTGCTGCCTGCTTGGCTGTGCTGGCAGCTGCTGGGCTTTCCATCCCCTCTTGCTCCAGCAACAGTGACCCCAGCTGCCATGCAGAGCAGCTAGTGTGAGTGCGGAGCATCTGGTCCCCCAGCACACAGGGAAAGTCTTTATCATCTGCCTGGGATATGAACCACCACGTCTAAAGGGAAATTGTGGGTGGGGAGGCAGCAGGGAGAGGACAGGAACTGCTAACCCAGCCTGCAGGCTCTCTTTAGCACGCTTAGCTGCTCCAGAATTGAGGGTCAGCTGCCAAGTGCTTTGCCCGGGGTCCTGCAAAACACCAGCTACTCTTTTATTTCAGGCCTAACGAGAGACCCTGGTCTGCATTTGGCAGAAGTGTGTGTAGCATCCCTGGGATGGTTCCTGTGGCACTGATATCCCTCCATTAGCCCTTGGGGCAGAACCAGGGCCGCATCACACTTCAGAGCTGCATAAAGGGCTGGGGCTTGCCTGAGAGCAAAGGAAGATGCTTCCCCACCTGATTTCCATGCATTTCCTCAGGAGCTGGGGCAATCCTCTAGCCAGGCAGGTGGCTGAAAGCTGCTGGAGTCCAGGGCAGGCAGCTGGGTGAGCCCTGCCAGCTCCTGCCAGCCTTGTTCGATGCTCTTGCCCATCTGTCTTGTCCCTGTCCCCAGGAGGAGCTGGGGGCAGCAAGACAGAGCTCAGCAGCCCTTTTCACTCTGTCTGCGTTGTGATGTGTTGGTGTTAGAAGCAGAGTAGGAGTGGGTGGGTGGGAGATGTGACAGCTGTGGATGGCCTGGGGTGTTTGTTCCCAAGCACAGGCCAGTCCTAGGGAATCGGCTTCTCTCCTGACCTGTCCGAGAGGGGAGGAGGAACAGCATCGCTCCGGAGCTGGGAGGGAGGGATCTATGCTGTGCACTCCTGGCAGCACATCCAGCCTGGAGGAAGGACGAGGCAAAAGGAAGTGAGCGAGTGCTCCTCTGCTGCTGGCCCATGAGTCCCAAACCAGCGATCACCGTGCAGGAGAGACTCATACGGAAGCGGTGGCAGGGCCTCCCTTTGGTGGTTCCCGAAGTCTGGCTCAGAGGAGGGCAGCAAGGGACCGGCGGGGATTCCTGTATCGCTGCCCGGTCCATCAGGTGTAGGGGTGTCACCCCTGCCCCTTGCCAGGCTGCTCTGTCAGGCTGAAGTATCAGTGGAAATACGTTTTCTGCCTTCTTTTATTTGCAGGGAATCTGAAGCATGTTGTTTAGCGGAGAAGGAAGGCTCAGGTTTCCACAAGAGCATTTCCCATGGGGAAGACGGCGTGTTTATGTGAGCAGCTGGTGAAATTTGTAGCTGTGGGGGAAATTTGGAAGAAATTACTGTTGGTTGGTTGATTTTTTTTCTCTTTAAAGAAGAAAAGCTGCTGCACACCATGAGCACCATGGCTCTCCCCAGGCAGGAGTGTGGGCCCTCCAGCCACAGCCTTCCAGTGCTGGCAGAGCCTTCCTTGCTCCTTTCCGTTTCCTTTTTTAACACCACAGAGTTTATTCTCACAACTGGTTTTAAATGTTTTTTAAGAGAGGGGCTGCTCAGAGCTGTGGACCCTCCCCAGCTGGAACCCAGTGCCACATTGCCTTCCTGGCAGGAGCATGGCCTCTGAGCTGCCCACCCGGGGAGCGGTGCCAAGGGCCAGCTGGGGCCTGGGGCACAGGCTCTGCCTCTTTCCCACAGAAAGGCACAGCCATTGTGTTTTTAACTGGGAATTTTTTTAAAATAAAGAATTTGAAATACTCCTCCAGCCCCTTCCTTTCTTCCTGCGCCCATCCTGCCTAGCCAGTGCTCTTTTCCACAGCACTTCACATGTTCAGCGGAGGTCCAGCCAGCGCTGAAAAGCAAAGATCTGCAGTTGTTTGCAACGGTCCTTTCCAGCCTCCCTAAGGCAGCACAGACACCACCCCCCTCGCCTGGGGTGATGGGTGGGCTCCTGAAATCCTGTGTGGAGGGGACAGACCCTGGGGATGCTCTCCCGTGTCCAGGGAGGTGCAGGGCAGGGTGCAGCTCCTCCAGTGCCCCATGAGAGCTCCCACTCAGCATCTCAGCAAGGAGACAGGTACACAAATACCTGGGGCAGGTCCCTCCTGGAGCCCCGGGCCATGGAGTCCGGCCTCTGCTGCCCTTGTCCCCTCCTTCACCTGGCCCACGGAGCTTTTATTTGTGCTGTTTCTTTTTAAAGAGGTCCAGTCGCCGTGGGAAAGCATATTTCCTGTTGCTTTAATTAGATTACGCTGGAATAAATAGCAAGACGAGGGGACTCCCAGCCTGGCCTGGCTTTGTTTTGATTTCTTGTTTTTCACTGTCGATCCAAGCAACAGGAAATTCAGCATGGAAGGAGTTCAACTGGATGTGGCTCCCATGTCCCTGCAGAGCGACTCCTGACCCCCTCCCTGCTTCCCCCCCCATGTGCCCCCAGCGCCTGCTGCGGTGGGCTGGGGGGAGACCGACCCTGTGTGGTGACCATGGGCTGGAGGCTGCTTCTGCCACCGGTGTGAGCAGAGATGTCAGCCCTGGGGGTGGTTCAGCCCGGAGAAAAGAGAGGTGTGAGAGGGCAGAGGAGCCGGCTGGCTGCCCCGTCCAACCCACCTTGAGGCCCCACGAGCACTGACCCTGCAGCAGGCACTGCTGGCCCTGTGAGCTGCTGCAGGAACACCACCAGGAGAACAAATAAACAATAGGAAACCCTCCGGGCGTCAAACATTGTGGCACTAAAAGGGGTTTAGGTGAGGTGCAGGGAGGGCTGCGTCCGGGGATGGGATGGCAGGTTGCCCTCCACAGACAGCTGGGGAAACTGGAGCACGGGGTAAAGCGCCCCCTCCGCCATCTCCATCCACATCCCTGAATGCGAAGAGACAAGTGGAGCTCGGCTCGGTGCAAAGCAAGAAAAGTGCAAAAGGTGGGATAAAGGCTCAGGGGGTACCCCCAGTGCCCCCTCAACCAACCCTCTCACACCCAAATCCCCCTTCAGCCCGCTGAGAGCACCAGCCCCCTTCCTGCCCCCCCCGCGGATAGGTGTTACAAGTGTGTCCCAGCCTGGACTGGGGAAACGGGGGGGAGGGAGGTACCTGGATGGGGTGACTTGGCGGGTCCCAGCCTGAACGGGGAGGACCTGGAGGCTCTATAGGGCTGAATAAGAAGCAGATGCTTCCAGGGGGATATGTTCCAGCCGCTAGATGCATGGTTTTCATTCCCTTTTGTACCACAGTGTCTGAGTTCAGGAGAGGAGAGCTCACATATTTAGCCCTTCCCTGCACCATGGCTAGCTTTTTGGTTCCCCAGCCTCTCCAGTCCCCAGCCCAGTTTTGACTCCTAGAAATGCTTCCCAGTTACTGACAGTCCCATTACCACAGCTTGGTGAGCTACCACTTCCCACGCATACACACATCACCCGTTACAAGCCTGACATAGATTATTTTACTTTTGTCTGCCTCTTTGTTTTAAATCACCATTTGTTTCATCAAAGTTCAAGTCCTGCATGTTTCTGCCATAAGCTCATGTCTTCCTCCTGCGTGCAAGTTTGGTTGGAGTTTGTCAGTTAGAGAGTGGACTCTGCAATGCAAAAATAGCTCTGGCACAAGTCTTTTCTTTGAGGTGGTGCTTTGCCCTGGAGCAGAGTTCTGATCCTTTGCTCCCAGGAGAGCATGGGTGCTCCAACTCAATGGAAGCAAGTCAGCAAACAGGAATGTCTTCTAGTGCTTAGAGATGAATAGAAGGCAAGGGGTTAGACTCCGTGCTTACTGAAGTGGGCTCGTAACATGGCACCCTACCTGCATCACGTTCAGGCAGTTATCCCCAAGCCTGTGTGAGGAACTGCAGCCTGGGAGGAGGTGCAAACCTGCAGAACAGTCTGTGCCCATCCTTTAGAGAGGGATGACTTCAGTGGGGGTCTGTTGAAACGCTTCTTTGGGAACATTTGATCCACTGCCTGATAGCAACTGCTGCGTTTTGTTACAGCTCCCCCACTCCTTTTCTCTGCTATGCATGATGATTTTTGTTCCTGTCTTTGTCACATTGCAAAAGACTAGTCCTTCTCTTTACTGTCGTCTGTCAAAGTGCTACCTGAGGCATGAGGCAGTTATAAACCCTGATCCCTACTGGTACTTGACTTATGGGCTCCCAGGGCAGTTGCAGCTTAACTAGAACCCCTCTCTTCCGCTGTCAGACCCCACCAGACTGTCTCAGGAGCAGGAAGGCTTGGAAATTCATGCCCTTCCCAGTGTCCCTTCAACATCAGACCTGGG